GGAAAACACACATTCATTATGGGCATAAAATGATGCGGCGTCGTAAATGATTGGCTCGCCACTGGATGCATCCACGGCCGCATTCCCATGCCAGAGATCGCCATGGATGAGCGCTGGCCGAATAGATCTTCCTCCTGTTTCCAAAGGTCGCAATAGTCGTGGAATGACCTTGTCAAAGAACGGCCCCGACAGGTCTAAGATCTCTTGATTTGGTCCTTGGACCTTTTGCTCCATTTCAAGGAGGACATGGGTTGTCCTTGTGAAGTACTCCTCCCAAGTGTCAGACCAGCCATGTTCAATCGGGGTGTTTCCATGGAATGTTGTAATATCATTCCCAAATTTCCCATTATCAGACGTTGCATTGCGATGCAAGTCGGCCATTTTCGCAGGAAAACTACCGAGACCGGGTAGTTCTTCCTTCATCTCACGAAACTCGCAGAGGAAAAAGTGTACATCTGCCATTGAGGAGTAAGTGCCCCATGCAATAGGGCGAGGGACAAAATCCGGGCTGACAGAATAAATCCTGCTCATCGAGCTGAACTCTCCGGACACCATCAGACGGCCTCGATCACCGAACGTTGTCTGTGTGCGCCATGAGCCAACAGTAGCTTTGACTGAGTTGATGACCCGCCAGAAACCTTAGAGACGTACCTTGAGGAAGTACCGCCCCGGTTGACCATCCGTCTCGACGTTCAAACATGCAGTACGGGTCCATAAGCTGGTACTGTGCGGTTTGGCTGACAGGATTTTGGTCTTAGCTGGGAGCTCTGTTCCAAGCCGAAGGTGTATTAGTGATTAAAGTCTGGGCCGGGTGAGGGCTTGAGGAATTCCAACTGTGTAGGACATTTTTGTCAATGTTTTGGATAGATTCGATTGGCACATCGATATCGGCCTCGTATGCTTTTAGTTCGGTAGCCATCAGTATCAATTTACAAATAAGATCTCAAAGATGGCTCTTGAAAGATGTTCCTCCATCAACGGCCGTGGTTGAGAGGACCCAGCAAGGACCAGGGCTTATCTTATCACTGAGTTAGCGGCCTACTGGACCGTCGTTGGCCGTCGGCCATCACCAGAAAACGTTCTCCAGGACATACACAAGAGATGAAGATGACGAAAGAAAATTATTAATGATTATTTGTGAAATGTGAGCACGGAAGAACTCTGGCACATCTCATCAAGATCGGCAAATCACCTCTTCACTATCTCGATGAAGCCTGCCGACAGGCTCCCGCTCACCGAACAATGCCACCACTACCAAGGCAGGCATGAAGTTCCTTGGGACATACAAAAGCAAGTCCTGGGAACCAGCTTCGAATTTCATATATTCTTCTCACAGTCTGCTAACTATGGACACAGGTATTTCTCGCAGAGATATTCCATCTTCTCTTGGTACGACCAAGGCATTTGTATGACGGATGATGCCTGGTTTGGCGTCACGCCCGAACCTGTCGCAAAGTACGTTTGGTTGAATTCAAGCTTGAAAGAGCGAGGCGCTGACATTTCACGACCCATCTTTAGCCAAGTTGCGAAGGATATGTACGATTCAGATGCCAAAAAGACGGTTCTGATTGACATGTTTGCCGGCGCGGGAGGGAACACCATTGCATTCGCCCTGTCTGGCCGATGGAGCCAGATTATCGCTGTTGAGAAGGACGCATCTACCCTGGCCTGCGCCCAGAACAATGCAGATGTGTACGGCGTCGAGCGACCCTGCATCACGTGGGTTCACGGAGACAGTTTGGAGTTTCTGGATCTTCTGGTGAACCGACCAGAGGAGCTTCATCCCGATCTCAGAGTTGACTTGGCAGCCACCGTTGTCTTTGCCAGTCCGCCTTGGGGAGGCGTGGGATACAGCAGCGACCAAGTTTTCGACCTGTATACTATGCAGCCGTATGATCTTCGTCAACTCCACAACGCTTGCTATCCGATGGATCACGCCCTCTATCTTCCCAGGTCAAGCGACATTCGGCAGATAGCAAAGCTTGCTCCCGAAGGAGAAAAGATCGAGGTCGTCCAGTACTGTATGGAGGGGGCGAGCAAAGCTATGGTGGCCTACATTCCAGCAAAGAACATCCCGGAGAAAAGCTAGTGCTGGCGAGTTACAAATGTTCTCTATCGAACACTTGATCGATTTGGCCGACTATTTTGTATGGCCTAGCTACGAGACTTAGTGAATGAGGCGAGCAAGAAAATAGACCCAAGAACAGCAATATCTTGCTATCTGGACGAACGGAAATAATTGTATGATAATTTGACAGAGCTCAAGTCAAGAACAGGCAGAATAAAATTGAAAATGTAGCAACTTGACATACAAAATTCTAGTGGAGACGCTCACACTCACTTATGGTTTTTAGACGTCAGTTGGGTTGGAGATTTTTCAATTGTCCCCTCACCAAGAGCCCAAAAAAATCTGATGGGACAGCTATTAAATAAGTAGCACCTCAAAGAATAAAATCAAATGAGGGTTTGAACATAAAATATGGCCAAGGACAAGAAGAAGAACTCGGACGCCAAAAAGGCCAAAAAGGTTTCATCCATTCACCTCATTCCACCATCCTCCTCACTCACTCATCCCCCGCTAACACCCAAGTCCAAACCAACAGGCTGAGAAGGCAGCCAAGCAGGCCTCCAAGGGCGAGAAAAAGGCCAAGACCAAGGCCGCCAAGGTCGAGGGCAGCGACGCCGAGGATGTCGATCTCGACGAGATCCTCGAGGAATACGCCCGCCAGCAGGAGCAGTTCCTCAAGATCACCGAGACTGTCTGCGATGCCCCGCCCAAGCCCCGAGCCGCCTCTACTCTGATGGCGGCGCCCCACGACTCCAACAACCTGCTGCTCTTTGGCGGCGAGTACTTCAACGGCTCGCTCGCCCAGTTCTACAACGACCTGTTCATCTACAACATCAGCCGTGATGAGTGGCGCTGCGTCACCTCGCCCAACGCCCCTCTGCCCAGATCAGGCCATGCCTGGACCCGGGCCAGCAACCCGAACCACGTCTATCTCTTCGGCGGCGAGTTCTCCTCCCCCAAGCAGGGCACCTTCCACCACTACTCCGACTTCTGGAGATTGGAGCCCGCAACCAGAGAGTGGACCAAGATCGAGGTCAAGGGTAAGGACAAGAGCCCGCCCGCCAGGAGTGGCCACCGAATGACGTACTGGAAGCACTACATCATTCTCTTCGGCGGCTTCCAGGACACTTCCAACCAGACCAAGTACCTGGCGGATCTCTGGATCTTCGACACGATCAACTTCGTCTGGATCAGCCCAGTCCTGCCCCCCGCTCAACTCAAACCAGATGCCAGGTCCTCCTTCACTCTGCTCCCACACGAGCAAGGCGCCGTCCTCTACGGCGGCTACTCGCGCGTAAAGGCCACCGTGAACATCAAGCAAAAGGGCGGGAAAGGCGGCAACAGCCAGGGGCAGAAGAACATCCTCAAGCCCAAGGTCCACGACGACTGCTTCTTCCTCCGCATGGGTCTCCCAGCCACCGACGCCGGGCCGAACGCCCTCCCGACCGTCAGGTGGGAGAAGCGCAAGAAGCCGGTCAACACGCCCGTACCCTCCCGCGCGGGCGCGACCATGACCTGGCACAAGGGCCGGGGGATCCTCTTCGGCGGCGTCCACGACGTCGAGCAGAGCGAGGAGGGCATGGACAGCGAGTTCTTCAACCAGCTGTTCGCGTGGAACGTCGAGCGCAACAGGTTCATGCCGCTGAACTTGAGAAAACCCCGTCAGCAGGCGAAGAAGGGTGCCCAGGAGCAGCAGCGCGGTGGAGGGGGCCGCCGCAACCGGCAGGGCAACGAGGAGGAGCTTCTCCGGCAGCTGGCGGCCCTCGAAACGGGTGTGTCTCTGGAAGACATTGACGGGATTGAGCTTGACAAGAAGGAGGAGGAAGAGGAGGAGACGCCGGTTAAGGAGAAGCCTGTCACCCTGGAGCCTCCGCACATGAGATTCAATGCCCAGCTCGCAGTCCAGGGCGACAATCTCTACATCTACGGGGGCACGTACGAAAAAGGCGATCGGGAGTTCACATTTGATGACTTGTACGCCATCAACTTGGATAAACTAGACGGCTGCAAGGAGATATTCCAGCGACCTGTCGAAGACTGGATTGTAAGGATCCTTCCCTCAAACCATCCCAGCGATACTTTGTGCAAATGGACTAATTTTGAAACACAACAGGAATCCGATGACGAAGATGATGAGGAAGGCGACGAGGACGATGAGGACGACGACGAAGAGGAGGAGGTTGAAGAGTACGAGGCGGCCGAGAAGCTTCATACGCCCAGCAAGCGCAAGAAGAAGCAGCAGGACGAAGTGTCAGACACCACCTCGGAGACTTCGTCTACCCCACCGACTTCTGTGGATGACGACGAGACTGAAGCTGCTGATGAGACTGTGGACGATGGCCTCCCCCACCCCAGAGTAAGTTTGCAAAATATTCGACATCTCCTATGGAAACAATCCACTAATATTGCCGTTACCAACCAGCCGTTCGAATCTCGACGAGAATTCTTTGTCCGTACCTCCAACGAGTGGCAAGAGATCCTCATGACAAGCCTCCGCTGGAAGAACATCCAGCCCGAGACTCTGACCATCAAGGAGATCAAGGCGCGGGCGTTCGAGCTGAGTGAGGAGAAGTGGTGGGATTCCCGTGAGGTGATTACCGCCCTGGAAGAGGAGCAGGAGGCAGCCGGCATTCAGGAGGTTGTCAGCCTGGCGGAGAGGGGAGATGCAGCCGCTGGTGGAGGGAGGAGAAGATAAGTAGCTACTGGTCCTGTGATGAATATAACAGGTGCATCTCAGAAGTCATCTTGGACTTTCATAGTGATGAAATTACTGCGACTGTAGCAAGCCATCATCGATACGGGGGAGCTAAATGTATAAGAGAAATGAGATGAGATTTACACATATTCATCTCACTAGATACCCAACTCTTGCTTCCAAGATGAGATAAGACCCAACGTTTAGCAAGGGATCACTGTAATATTCAAGGTAACCATGGACGAAAACCTCAAGAAGCTTCCTGGATTCCATCCGCTTGTATGTTATCTCCACACAAGGAATCTACCCAAGTCTTTTCATAAGATACAAGCCAACACGACCAGTCACACCGAACCCACACACTGCCAACGCCTCTCCCACACCAGAACCAGCATTCACCATCAACTCCCTTACCCCAGACCCAATGCATCGTCACTCATCCATTCATCATTTACCATCATCACCTCCCCCGCCGCCGCCCCCCAGCGGCTTATGCACAACCCCCTCAGCCGACCACTCCGGCCGCTTCCCCATCACCCAGAGCACGGCCGCGGCCGCGTTCCCGACGAGTCACGAGGGCGACTTGGCCATGGGGGGGTACTCCTTGCCGCCCTTCTCGACCTTGGGCTCGCAGGCGCACCGCTCCTCCTCCGGGATGGTGTCCATCACCATCGGGACGTGGGCGCCGCAGCCCCACCACGTCGCCTTCTCTGTGTATATTGTTGTTAGTAGGTGAACCATGAGTTTGATGGAGCAAGGGGAAGCGGGATCATCGGGTGCTTACTGCATGTATCGCAGCTCGCTTTCTTGCACATTGCGATGGGAGTGTACGGTTGTAATATGAAATGGTGAGTTTTCACTTTTTGCTAGCGGTCTTAGACAGAGTTGGGCAATGGCAAGTTGAGTGAGGGGTTATCAGGTTCCGAAGCGACGTTCTTATTACTTATCTAGAATCCGCATACCTAATAGTACGTACATACACACAAACCGAGAGCCTGTTTAGGTGGATACTCTGAATTGCCGAGACAGGCACTGTCGCCCCGAGTGCCGGTCCCCTTCCTATACCGACATTGAAGCCGCCGTTGGTTGGTTGATAGGGATGTCCCATATTGGAGCATTTGAATCACTTGTTTGGAGAATAATGGCGAGTTTCATCATCACATATGCCAGTACACGGAGGAGCTTATCAGTGCAAAAGACGCCGATGCTTTACTATATATGTATATATATCTGGGAACGAAACGCGTTCTTCCAAAAGTTGACAGTCTGGTCTTCAATTCTGTGCAAACGTATACCCCGCTGTGGATTCATATCCTGTCCCATCAATCTCCATTATTCTTCACCCATCACCATAAACTCCTTCTCCATCTTCAAGCGGGTCTTCAGAGTTGAGAGGCTCTCTGTTCGAGGGGAAAATAAAAAAGCAAACATTTATGCCGCAAAGAATAAAGCAACCGCCCGCAGCACTAGCATCATCATATCGTAAATGTCAACGTGGTAAATCCCACGTAGACCTCATAAATATACAGCTCAGAGAAAAAGATTGTGACACAGTCACTGAATCTATCTCTTCTCAGCTCATGTCTCCTGTTTATTCCTGGAATGATGGGTATTCCAGTTGAGACAGGTCGATTTGCTGGAAAATGTCTTGAGAGTTTTGGGAGAAACCCATGTCGGCACTTGGGATCTCGCCGAATAATGGCTGTACCGTGCCCGACTTTTGCATGGTCGAATCGAACAGCTGGAAGTCCGCATTCTCATCCTGGAAGCTATCCGTATGGCCCTCATCCTCATCCATTGACAACGGAGTATACAGCATAGCATTCTGCTGTGCGTTTGGAGAGAATTGCGACGTATTGTTTTGCGGAGGCTGGAACTGCTGCTGTGGGGTGTGATAGGTTGGCATGCCAGCGAGAAGCTGCTGATGTTGGGTGTGCTCGAAGGGTAGAGGGGCCTGAGCCATCTTGCCGTACATCATCAAGTCAGCAGGGTTGGGCATGTGATTTGGCATCTGAGCCGTGGCCGCATAGATATCTTCATCCGTAATAAATTGAGAGCCATTCTGGTACGGAGGGAAGTTCTCGTATGAGCCAGCTGAAGATGGCGAGAGATTCTCCATGGACAAGTCCATTGTGTCCAGGGTCTCTGGCTGCAAGCCATAAGTGGCTAGCCAGTCGGCGTCTGCCGGGTACAGAGGAAAGTCGCCAGAGGAAGCAGGAATACCATCCTGAGGTGGGGTAGCGACGCTGTACGCATCAGATGGCGTGGACGCATTGCCCAGCGGTGGGGTTTGCTGGACCGAGCTGGCCTGCTGGACTGAGCTGGCAGGCTTCGTGGAAGGCTTCTTGGATCCATTCGTCTTGGTGCGAATGTACTTCCAGCCGTGGGCCTTCTCCATGTGCTGCTTGCAGTTCGACTCACGCTTCGACTTGTACGGGCAAGGCTTGAACCGGCACTCGAACATAGCAGGAGCATCGGAGTGCTTGTCGTTGATATGGCGATCCATTTCCTTCTCAGTTGGCCAGCCGAACTCGTGATACTTGCAATTCTCCATCGGGCACTTCCAAGGACGAGAATGGGTCTTTTCATGCTTGGTCAAATCACAAGGGCGCTTAAACTGCTTGTTGCATCCAGGCTCACGGCATCTCTTTGGTGCCAACTCCTCGGGGGATGCATTCTTCTTGCGGCGTGCCATTGATCGCATAATCTCTTCCTCGTCTTCTCTCACCTCGCTGAGGGAGCGCTTCACCTGGACGGGACCGTCATGCAACACAACAGGCTTACCAGTGGCCATAGAGATGGCAGTGCCGTCTTTCTTAATGCGGACAAGCTCCGCGGGTCTGCCATTCTCGGAGATACCTCCAATGAGACGAATCTCATCAGATCTTTGGTTGTTGGTGTCAGCTTTGGGTCGAATAGGCACATAACGCGGCACATACTGGTCAAGATCCATAGAATCACTTAGCTCTCCGTTCTTGTAGGCAGCAAGTTCCCTGCCGTATTGATAAATTTGTTCCTTCAGGTCGATAAAGTAGCCGTTAGTGTAAGGTCGATCACCGGGTCGGATTTGTTCTCGGTCGGTGAGGTACTCGACAGTCGCTTGGATGCATCGAATCGACGTGAGGCAGAAGTCCAGATACAAGGCGGGTGTCTTGGCCTTCTCCTTCAAGCATAACTTCCGATAAGTACTCGCCCACAAACCATTATTACTCAAAAGTTGACTCACCGGTGCCATGAATAGCAGGGTCTTCTCCACATCGCGGAGGCAGATGATCTCTTTCGATCGGATACGACGGGGTACATCAAGCACGATAGGCTTGAAGCCTTTAAGGGTGGGCTTCTCCAGGAGAGGTCCAAGAAGGTGTTCGTGAATGCGGTGCACGGCCTTGGGGCCGAGCGAAGGAAGATTCTCCATACTGGGAGCGGCTACTGAACGAGTGATGGCAGTAGCGGTTGTTTGAGGGCTGCCCCTCTTGTCAGCGAGGGTGTCGCTGGAAGAGGCCAGCGAAGAACCCAGGCCGCTGTCAGAGGCGTGGCGGTGTGTCCTTCGGGTCGATCGAGGACGGAGTGTTCGCTTCTCTTGTTCCTTGGCCATCGATTTCGGGTCGATAAGGGGCAACTCAAGGAAGCCACGAGGTACGGGGAGGCTGGTGTCTCGTAGAGCATCGGTGTCCTGCTTTGAAGAGAGGGAAAGGCCTTCGGTCTTAGTGGAAAGGGCTTCGTCAAACTCGTTCAAGGCCAGTGCGATACGGCGACGATTAGCGTCGACGACGTCGTCCATGTGGCTCTGGGATCGGGAGAGACGTGGAGGTGTGAAGTCGAGATCGTCAAGCGACGACGACGTTGATGATGATGGAGAGTGGAAGGTGGCACCTTTGCGAAGAGCCATGGAAGTCTTAAGAGAGGCGTCGCCAGCTTCACCGGAACGAGTAGCCGGAGTCCTACGACGAGGATTGGAGGAAGCCATCGTGACGGAAAGGGGAGCTTAAAGCCTTGTATTTGTGTCTGAGGGAAGCGAGAGGACGGACAATAAGCCTCGACTGCTCAGCCCAACCCTCAAGTGGAGAGAGTTCGTCGATATGAGTCACAAGGCGAAGGTTCCCGACCACAACCAAAGGGGGGAATCGGGATAATCGACAAGCGCGCCCAGCCAAGTAAACAACAATGCTATCGACTGGCCTCAAGATTCAATAAATTGAATTGATGTAGAAAAAAGGGCGTGTGGGAAACGTGGCAGTCCTACTCGTTTCCAAGGTCGGATGACACGGATGATGGTGGAAGGAGGTTGATGGAAGACGGAAGAAGCGTGCGAGGTTTGGAAGGCGGCGAAGTAAGTCCTGAGTAAGTTCTACTGAAGCCCCCAACAGAAGACAGTGGTCAAACTAGTGGTTACTTGTCCAGAACCTGGGCCAGATAGGACTCGGGAATAGGACACAGTGAGGTCGGAGGACGCAAGCACGGAATAATATGTTTCGAGCGAGCGAGGCAAGTTTGCCGCGGGTGTGGCAGGAAGTAGCGGTTATTTGAACGAACAGGTGCGCGCACGACCAAGCACACGATAAGTGGACGAAGGGGGGGTGGGGAGAGACCAGGCCAATCGAATTGGAGCACAGTGAAGTAATACTGTGGTATGCAGCGAGACTCGGGGATGGTTTAGCTCTGGCGGCCGTGGGAAAGGAGGAAAGCGAGAAACGTTGAGGGGCGTGATGTGAAGGTCGTGAGAACGAGGCAGTCGGAGTTGGGAGGGAACAGGTACTGTGAATGGTGTCGTCGTCCAGCAAATCTGAAGGCGATTGCTCAGCCCGGAGGCTGTTGCCTAGAATCTCAGCCAATCAGACGCGGGAAAGTGGAGAAAGGCTTGCGGAGAGGATTAGCGCACCGCTTGCTTACGTCCGCACGGACCTGGCCCATGGCGCTATATTTGAGTATGAGAATGTACATCTACCACTAACAATTTCAAGGGTACTGGCCCAGCTATTTGCACTAGCACAGCAAACGTCCGCATTACCAAGCAAAGTCGCAGCCCTCTGGTCCGCCTGGAACTTCTGGCAACTCTGGCAGCTCGCAGCTGCCCCAATCCCTATGGCCACCCCCACAACCCCCCCGGCAGCAGTGTCTCAGTGGACTGCGGCGCAAGCTCCTCAAAACGCCGTCTCCATCATATCATAGTCCCCATTTTTATTCCGACTCCTCCTCAACCATTTCCATTTTCCCATCTCCCCACATGCACACCTGCAGTCTGGTCCATATGCTGGCGACGGCCATGGACGAATGAAGGCCCGCCGATTGATTGATCCAGCAACAGCCGCTTCTGTATGTTGACGCTTCTGCAGACCAGCCAACTAAGCGAATCCAGTCTTTGGCCTCGCGCATTCGAGTGCACACTTGTTCTTACCTAAAGTGGTCCATGCCACGATCCCTGACTCCCTGTGCGCCCTTGTGGGCGTTTTGGCACATCGCCTCTTGATGCGCGCTAGACCGTTAATGCCAACCATGCTCAAAGTTCCAGCTCTGCGACGGGGTTCTGGGTATCACACTGCCACACCACCAAACCAATTGATTCGCCCTGACATGAGAGACAGACGGCCGGTCCCTTCCACTACTTCATCTTTTATCGTTCTCGTGCGTCTACACACAAAGATCCTCTTCTGAGGGCCCCTGCTCTCAGGACTTTTTAATTCCACCATGCTGGGCTAATAGTCTAGGTTTGGGGCTGTGTTGACTCCTCCATTGTGACGGCATGGCATGGTTTCCGGATACGACTCCGTCGGCGTTGACTCAACTGGCTACAGCGCTTGGCACAGCTTTGACAAGGGTGACTGGCTCTAACTGCAACCAAGGAGTCATGCATCGAGTCAAGCACTGCCAGACAAGGTGGAGACTCTGCGTCTGCGACTCCTCCACCTTTGGTGTGATGGCATGCATTCGCCGGCTGGTAGGGCTGGAAATGAGACACATGTCTCTTCTTTGGTTGGCGCAAACATGAGCTCGGACTTCTCAGGAGGTGTGTATGGTTGATCTGTCCGCATCCAGGTTCTCCCTTGACGCATACCAAACACAACTTCAGATCTCACCACAGATGACCCCTCTCCCATTGAAGTCCCTGTGCAGATTCCTGCCGCTTTCCCTGTTGCCTCGCTTTCCAGATCCGGCTTCAATTGGTTATCTACGGGATAACAGCTCTCCCCACCCCACAATCAACAACCATAGCTAAGCCCATGATCAGCTTATTACTCCCTAGTTACAATCCCCTTTCAATCCCGTACGAGAAGCGGACACGTATGAGCGTGGGTCGATGGCATCCCTGGCCCTGAAACTGATTGCTGCACTTCCACTGGGTTCCCTCGCTCAGCCCTATCACGATACTGCCCCCCACTTGCCGGTGACCTCTGTCCCAGTCCCATCATCCACATTGATCAGTACGACGCTGGAGGTGGGTGGGTTGCCATCCATCATCGATTGAGCGAGTATTGTAGCTTTCTGTCGGTCGCCTTGGCAGCGCGCCTGCTTCCCGATGACGCCTTCCACAATCCCACCTTCAGTTCAGCTGCGAAAAGAACCATTCCCAAGGCGTAGCGCGTTACGAAACACAAGCATGGCTTGCATGGGTTGCCCACACTGTCTGCACCTAATTATCAGGCAGTCGTATTTCTTCTCCCAGTAATTCTGCTGCCTTCACCACGCCCCATAGCGCTCCGCCCAGCCCAACATAACCCACCCGATCGAAAGTGTCTGTGCCAATTGCCGTCGCTCCCCTCGAAACCCAAATCAAGACCCTTTCAACGTCAGCAATTGACGAATGACACCTTGGCGCTTCTAGCCCCAGTAGATGTCCTAGCTCGATCGCTATGTAGATCGTGTTAGGCTGCTGAATTCCTGTTGCCCACCCTCCACATGATGCCTTTTTTATCTCGATAATTCTGCTGCCTGAATCGCGAGACAACCAAATCTTACCCAAATTATTACCTGACACGTCTACGGGGTACGTAACATAATTTGCGTAAGACCCATCCATTGTTGCACACGGAAATCGAGTTGGAAAACGCCATTCAGATACCCAACACCAACCCCTTCCATACACCCCAAACCCAGTCTGTTTCTGACATGCCCTCAACCTCAACCCCAACCCTTAACCCCAGCCCTCAACCATGCCTATACTCCCACCTCGGGGAGAACGTTTGATCATGTGATATCATGTCAGTGCTCTCTGCTTAGAATCTGCTATCTGATCAAGTCACCTATCATAATGTGCATGTGCATTATAGTGCGCATGTGTACCTCACAACTTCATCGTACATGTAACTCTGGCTCATAAAATCTATCCAAATATCCAACACTGTATATATTTCATTAACCAAGCGGAAACCTAACGCGAGCCTGCTTCAGGTGCTTGGGCCGGGGACGGAAGGGATTGCGCGAGAGGTCATGTTGTCGCCAGATGGTCTTCACGGTAGATCTGAGACCCTCTAGCTCAATTACCTCCCCTGCCTGGACAGTGTGGTCGCTCCAGGCATCATTGAAGCTTGGGTGTCGGTCGTTCCAGTTGAAGAGACCCTGATCAGAAAAACTCTCGAGTGCCCGAAGGGCCAGGTATCTGTGGGAGTTGTGATCTCCAAGAAGACTCCGGGGTTGACTAACACTCTCCTCTCCGGGAGAACTCTGGTCTTGGGCATTGATCCGTGTCAGTGAGTAGGTTTCGGAGGGCGGAGTTGAGATAATCGACGAGGGGTGAGGTGAAGGCTGGCGCTGGGAGCCTTCACTAGGCTCTTGGACTTCCTCGGGAGATGCCGATAACCGGGTAGGAGTGAACCAGAAACTGGAAGGGCTCTGACTGGAGTCCCGGGTCCTTTCCTTTGAGGACAGTGAGAATAACGAAGAGAGACTCATCCATCCAAACGATCTTTTGCCTTTCTTAGTTGTTGCTGGTCCAAGTAGTGTAGAATCATCGGAAGATGGCAGTGGGTGGTTCCCGTTGACGCTGCTTGCCCGCTTATCATTTCGCCCATGGCGGGAGATAATAGTTACGTTCCTGCATTTCTTTAGCCTTTCCTTGAGCTTCTTACAACTTGGAATCTTCATTGTAGAATAAAAATCAGGTTCCAAAGTTGTAGAGGGGATTCAAGATTGGGAATTAGCAAGCTCGAGGTTCAGGGCTCGAGAGAAAGGGGCGTATTATTTTCCTTTTGGATGAATGAAGTATGAAGAAACCAGTTTCTATCAAAGAGCCCTTTCATGCAGATATATACAGCTTTTCTTCTCAACATGGCTTTTACTATTTGATGGTTTTTGGTGGCTGCTTTACATTGAAGTCGGTCGGGCGGCACCGTTGACCAGCTTGGCGGAAGCTCAGAACTATATGCGAGCAAGGCTTAGTTCCAAGCTTTTTAGAGGCGCTATCCGAAAAGTAATTTGCTCGACAGGTAGGATAGAGTGCAACGGTTCCCCAATCATTATGCTATCTTGGACTTATACATGAAACCCAATACCTAGCTACTAAGCGTGACATCTTCCCTTCTCAGAAAAATTGCCAATTTCATACTCGCTTCTGCACGCCTCGATCTATTGGTTTTTATTTCGAAAGTAGGAAATGAGAAGAGGGGGAAAGAAGGTCACATATTCTTAATCATGCTTCGCAATTCCAAATGGCCGTAGCTCAGCCTAACAAACAATATCTCTACTAGTAAAGCACTTAAGGCTAAGCAATACTTTTTTCAGATCATGAGAATTCAGTTTTACTTTGTATTAGTTCTGAACAGGTAAAAGCCACACGAGCCCTGGGCAGCCTCACGCCAAAGTTGAAACGGCGGCAAGGGATAAGCCCTCAACGCCAGAACTACTATCATGTCCAAATGGTCAGCAATAACCAACTCTTCGACTAACGAATTCCGGTCTACCACAACACAAAATCTTCAAGTGGGCAGGCCCAACCAAGGTATAAATCCTGAATCTCCCTGTTTGCCTTGAAGT